TCTTGGATGAGACTCTGAGAAGAACTGAAGGAGCTTCTTGGATGAGAATCCAAGAAGAAGCTTCTTGGATGAGAAGCGAAACTTTTTCAAGGAAAAAAAAAATCCAGTTACCTTTGGAAACCCCCTTTGTGTAGTTTTCCAGATATTGCTAAACCAAAACTATCAACATTGTTCTTCACTGGGTGGGCTGAGAGTCCCACTGGGACATTGACAAGATTCTTCTCCCACAGGGTTAAATGTTACGCACAGGTATGAGAACTAGAGTTAGGACGCAATTGGCGTTGTGGACTTGCACAGACTTGGAAGTCCGAGTTAAATGAAGAACCCCAGCGTCCACTTCCTTTATGGCAAGCCAGTTTCTAGGAGAGAAAGTCTGAAGGAGACTTCTCAGGAGAACAAGGGTGGTGTTAGCAAATGAGATGATGCAGAATTGTAAGCCCACACTGATTAGATTGTTTGGGATCTCCCAGGCTGCAGATGGACCTGGCCACCAAGCAACACCAACTGTCAGAGAAAGACAAGTTGTTGTGTTCGTTGAGGGTAGAGCTCAAGGTGTACGAAAAGTTGGACGAAGCCTTCCGGAACGAAAAAGGTAAGGAATCCAGATGCAAATAGGAAGACAACCGTTGAGTTCTTCTACAGCGGGTTAATTGAGAAGGCAATTCAGGTATGGCTTTGGCACTTCTTGGAAGACCAAAGGAATGGAGTCAGTTTGGGGCATGCAGGCGTTTATGGACCTTCTCTCTCCATACTTTGGTTCATCTTCAAGGTTGGGCAATCCCTGTCAATTTAGAGATGTCCATGGGCAAAATCCCATGGACAAGAGAGCCGTATCGTTGTGGAGGGCCTGACAGCCAGACAGAAGTAGAGATACCCTTGTCCTTAGCCTTTGGTGAAATTTCACAGAAGACCAGGAGACAAGTTCTGGATTTTCCCACGTCCAAAATCAAGCCTGCTCTATAACCCCCAACCATGAACCTATGAACTCTCTACAGAGTTTTTGCAGGAGAAAAAAAAAACGCTCAAGTTCATGTGAAACTATTAAAGGTAGCCCTCGGACTTGAGCCCAAAATTTCTGTCGCTAAGTGAAACATTTGTTAAAGTGAGTTTGGGCCCATTTTACGATTTCTCTCACCACGGTTTTTTAAGTGAATCACTGCCGTTAACTTAGTGCCACGGGTGTTAAGTGAAATCTGGTTTCCCCTTTGACTTGGCTTGACCAGAAGGTCGCAAACGGGAGATCATGCAGCTCCCGCGACACTGCAACCGTCATAAATACAAGTCAGTTGCCAAGCGTTTGAATTTTGATCTCGTGACCCTGGGGAATGCTGGAATGGTTGAAGCGAAAAACCGGTCGTAAGTCCCTTTTTCCAATGCCTTTGCAACGTTGAACAGTCACTAAACAAACTCTTGTAAGTCGGGGGCAACTCTTGAGATACGCAACTTTTAATGCAGGGTGTGTCACTCCATGTTTTGCAATCTCCGGTGAGATGTTCCTAGCTTTTGAAAACTTGCAAGAGGGTATGGGAGGCCATGTTAGTGGCCCCTGGCATGAAGTTTGCTCTCTGCCAGTGTCAGGATTCCGGCAGTTACCCCCATTTAAATCATGAGTCTTGAGCCAAACTTCCAAAACTTCAAAAGGATTTATTGGGAGTTAACATGTCTGGCACCGCCTGGGTGTAGCCGACTCTGAGGTACATCATTCATTGTCACCCTTGACCCTGGTTTTCTCACCCACCCCTCTGGGTGTATCGTAGTTCATATTCTCCAATGGGACCCCTCCATAGCAAAGAGTCATCAATCACGTTCTCCAGTTAGAATTTTGGGTGGCAGAAACTTCAGTCACCTAGTTACTATCTTTGAAAACATTTATGGAACACGGTTTCGGTTTGCAAGCTGCCCCATTGCTCCCCCTCCCTTTCTGTTGGCAACTCTAAAAAGACCATAGAAATATTTTACGAGTTGACAGTCAGGCTCGAAGAATTTTGAGTTCCTTGATTTGGCCGATCAGATATCCAGGTTTCAAGATAGCTTTGATTTTTAGCCTTGGGTCCCACATCGGCGCTCGTAATTAGCACACTTTCTTATTGTTATTTAATCTCGCTCCAGTTTCTCTTCTCACCAGGCTCTCAAACGTCCTTCAGAATTTATAAATCTTCACTCCAATCCTTTAATATACATAATTTTTTTTTGCTTTGGGTATGCAACATTAGCTTTTATAGTCAAAGTGAAAAATAATTTTTGGCTCTTATTAAATCTTTGGAGAGTGAAAGCAATTATTAGATAAGGTTATACGTGTGTGTGTGTGTGTGTGTGTGTGTGTGTGCATTTGTGTGCATGCAGTTTTTTTTGGGGGGAAGGGCTGTAAAATCATCTACCTACTCTTCGAAGCTGGCTCAGATTCTGGATTGTTCAGCATTTTAACAGCTGCTATTTTAATTGTTCATAATAGTAATTATTATTAATTACTATTATAAACAATAGGGACACGGTGGCTCAGTGGCTAAGATGCTGAGCTTGTCGATCGGAAAGATCGGCAGTTCGGCGGTTCAAATCCCTAGCGCCACGTCACTGAGTGAGCTCCCGTTCCTTGTCCCGGCTTCTGCCAACGTTCGAAAGCACGTGAAAAACGCAAGTAGAAAAATAGGAACCACTTTGGTAGGAAGGTAACAGTGTTCCGTGCACCTTCGTCACTTAGTCATGCTTGTCACGTGACCACGGAGACGTCTTCGGACAGCGCTGGCTCTTTGGCTTTGCGACGGAGATGACGGAGATTGCCCCCTGGAGCCGGAAATGACTAGCACAGATGTGCAAGGGGAACCTTTATCTGTTAGAAATGTATTTTTTCCCCCCTTAAACTGCCCTCAAAACTATGAACCTCTTTTAGATCGGCGCCCGAATGGAGCGGAAGAATGTCGGAAGGATCAAAGCCAACCTCTTGATCTGGGCGAACTCTTGACTGAGATCCAGTTCTTGAGAAAGCAGCTGGAGCAGAGCATCACATCCAACCAGATGTTGCATGAGAAAGTGGAAGAGCAACTGCGTTTGGAAAAGGGGGGAAAGAACTGTTTGGGGCCAGCTTTGCAGATCAGCTGCCTGTTCAGTCCCGAGTCCCAACAATTTCAGACGGGGATCAAAGGTAGGGAAAAACAGCATTCAGGCATCCATAGAGGAGAACATCTGTAGGTCAGGGTTGAAATGGGGGTGGGGTGGGGGTCCTTGATGCTCTCTCAACTTGGTTGTTTTGGCCATCATCTGACCCCTAAGCCACCACTCTTAGGGATTGGGGAAGAGGCATCACTCATAAATCCATCCTAGAGATTATCGATTAACAAGAAGAGTTGGAAGGAACCTTGTAGGTCATCTAGTCCAACCCCTCTTCCAAGCAGGAAACCCTACACCATTCCTGACAGATGGCAGTCCAGTTTCTTCTTGAAAGCCTCCAGTGATGAAGCTCCCACAGTCTCCGAAGGCAACTTCTGTTCCATGGGTGGATTGTTCTCACTGTTAGAAAGTTCCTCCTTATTTCTAGGTTGAATCTCTCCTTGATCAGTTTCCATCCATTATTCCTTCTCTGGCCTTCAGGGGCTTTGGGAAGTAGCTTGACCCCTTCCTCTGTAGCAGCCCCTCAAATATTGGAAGGCTGATATCATGTCCCTCCTGGTCCTTCTCCTCACTAGACTAGCCAGGCCCAGTTCCTGCAACCGGTCATTGTATGTTTCAGCCTCCAGTGCTCTTAAGTTTCTTGGTTGTTCTTCTCGGCACTCTTTCTAGAGTCTCAACCTGTTTTTTATAATGTGGTGACCAAAACTGAATGCAGTACTCTAGGTGTGGCCTTAGTAAGGTTTTATAGAGTGGTATTAGTACCTCACTTGATCTTGATTGTATCCCTCTGTTAATGCAACTTAGGATTGCATTGGCTTTTTTGGCTCCCGCCGCGCACTGTTGGCTCATATTTAATTGGTTATCCACAAAGTTGGTTGTTCTCAAAGATCTCCATATATATTCTCAGCATTCCATTTTCCCCTTTCCTCACTTCAGTTTATTGGCAGGTT